CATTTTCTTTACTTCTTACTTATTAAATGAACATCAAAAATAAATGATTTCTATTGTTTCGTGAAGAAATTGTACTACTTACTTTCCAAAACGTGAGGAGAGTCCGACGTCCGGGCAGGCATCACGCTTCCTTGCATTCAAGTGCTCACGGATACTCAACATGGTCGATCCAGCACACTAACGCAGTCATGAGCAACCATTGAGCTCTATATCTAACTGGAGTGCGAACTGCTGTAAGAGAAAGTAGTAGCGGGGTAGGTCCGACAGAGAGAGAATGCTGTGCGGTGAATGCATCCTTCTTCTTCCTATTATCCCTCTCTTATTAAGTAGTGTACTGTAGTAAATTTGCCTCTCTTATTAAGTAGTGTACTATAGTAAATTTGCGTGTAGACCATTGCACTTTGCGCCACGCATTGAGTAGTCATGACCGCGATTTTCAATTTATCATCGACAAATTTGTCATCAACATCATTTACAAAAATGCAATATTATCAAGAAACATATAAAATGGTTAAAGCGTGCTGTATTAAAAAGTGTAAGAATGAGTGGAAGATAAGTGAGAGTGTTACTTTTCACAGGTAAGTGAAAGCGAAACTAAAATTGCATGTATTCTGTAAAAGAAATATATTTAACTCCTAGTTGTGAAGATATTCGAAGTACCCGCGTAAAACCGCGGATGCGTTCCTTGTTCAGACCGCGTTGATCGGATCGGCCCTTCCTGTATTCTAACGCAAATTGCCAGCGATGTAACTAATATATATATATTCATATTTGGTATATTATTAATAAATTAGTGTAAGTGCAAGTGTGATACCTTATTTTCAACCTGGCCTTCGTAAGCAAAACTCTAACAGGTTATGGGCCCAGATGCGAAACAGTCAAATCAAATTAATAAAAAGTGAGGTTAAACATAACCAAGTGCCACGTGTTGAAATAATAAAAAGCTTATCACCATGAGTATCACAAATACGCAACAAATAGAAAAGTTAGGAGACGGAAACTATGGCCGGTATTCAGAGTCGTTTCTTACTCTTAAGATCGTCTTAAGCATTTGCTTAAGTCCATGTTCCCTGTAAAAGAAAAGGACTAGAAATATGGGATAGGCAGGGATAGCAAATTCTTAAGACGATTTTAAGAATAAGCAACGACTCTGAATACCGGCCATGGGCCGGTGGTTCACAGTCCGTGCTCAAGCAATTGCTTGACCAAGTTCGCCTTATTCGAATAAGGTGCCCTCATGTATTCACAATCCGAAAGGTTTGCTTATCCGAAAAACGACATCTTAAGCATTTGCGTATTCGAAGCAAATGCTTGAGCAAATGCTTATTTCCCTTCGGCAATCTCCGGGAAGTTTCCAGTGTAGCAGCCAATGAGGAATGGTTTCGCGGATGCAGCTTTTCGTTTTTTATGGTTTTTATATGTTTCGAATTAAGCGTGGGAAGTTCACTTCTGACTGCTTCTCACTGCTCGTGAACGTGAATATCAAAGTGCTAATTTTGTGAGAAAAATAAGAATGGAACGCCGTAAACATTATACGGATTGTGAAAAACGTTGTTTTTACACATATTGAAGAAATATTCACGAATAATAGAAGCAAAAAAGAGTGATAACTCGACCCTACAGAAGAAAGAAGAAGCGTGGCGGTTAATCCACGCAGAATATAACTCCAGCTTAATTATTTCGTCCGAGGTAAGAAAATTATTATTTCTTATTTGTGAATAAATTTTTCAAAGAGCCATGACTCGAATGTTTGTTATTGCACAATAAATGTAGGGTGTTAATTGAAAACAATTATTTCAGAGAACCATTGCGCAGCTGAAGAAGTTCTGGAGCAATTTAAAAGCGCAGAAAAGGGACGTGCTGACGAAGGCACGCCAGCACGTACTGCGAACGAGAGGAGGACCACCGCTGAATTCAACGGTGGGACCAGATCCGGATGTTGCAGCGTTAACACCGGACCTTATGTATACAGCGCCTGTGCTGTATACATCGAATAATGTGGAGGACAACATCATTAATTATGATATTAATGATACGGAAGAGATGGAGGACATCACCGAACCAGCCATCACCGAACCAGCCATCACCGAACCAGCCATCACCGAACCAGCCGTCACCGAAATTGCTGAAACATGCTCGGAAATTGAAGCCTCTCCACGTAGCGCATATGTACTCGAGAATTTTGGAAGATGCGGCTGTCGTACGCATTGCCTGGCCATTCCGGTACAAGATCCAGGAATTCCATTCTAGGCCCAACAACCGCCTGTAACGAAGTTCATAATTTACAAATACAATCGTACAATTCCTTAATGAGAGTGTTGTAGTCCTTAAAGAAAAAAGAAAGAGGGCATGAAAACGTACTTGTACATTAAGAGAAAAATATCCTTTTCTGTTTCTAAAAATTTCATTGATGTCGTTCAGCCTCGTACACATCAATCTCACATGGGTGCAATCGATGGCTCCATCGACTCCGGGTAAACCGATAGCTCCACTACCTTGCCCTAGGTCTCTGAACAAACGACGATTTTCCCGGCGTGCGACAACACTGTTCAGAAACTTCATGTTGTAACCGAATACTCCCCTGGCGTATTCGGGAGGGAGGAGTTCGTGTCTCCTTGGGGTGAGGTAAACTGCGTTCCGTGGTCCGTGATTATGCGCAGCGGTTTTCCGACCTCGGGAATGAACGCCTTCTCTAAGCGCGCCAACGTTGCTACGGGGGTGGCGCGTCGCAACGGGTATAGCTTCACATATTTTGAGAATACTTCCTCGAAGACCACTAGGTATTTACATTTTCCCTTTGCTGTAGGGAGCGGGCCGTAGAAATCTGTCGAGACCAGTTCGAGTGGTTGTTTCGGCAATATTCTCTGCATCTCAACATGCAGGTCCCTATTCATGATTTTTACGCGCTGGCACACGTCGCATGCCGCTATGTACTGTTGAACCTTATGTGCCAATCTGGGAAAATATAGCGTCTCAGATAGCAGATTAACGCACTTATCTGAGCCTGGGTGCGCGTACAATTCGTGTACTTCCTGAATCAGGCGTGTCCCCCATCCGGACGGGATTACGCATCTCCATTTTCCCTCTCGTGTCGCATGGTGCAGCACGCCGTTGAGGAGGCAGTACCGCGGTCGCATCGACGGTGACGCTTCGAAGTACGTCCGCAATTGCGGATCCTCTCGCTGATGAGTTACGATATGAACGAACAACTCTCTAACCTCGCTCGACAATGCCCGGACTAGCGCGGATAACATCAACAATCCGTTCTCCTGCGACTCGTACCCCTCGCGCAACCGGCTCAGGCAATCCGCAACGCGATTATCTTTCCCCGCGCAGTGCTCGACCGTGATATCATAGTCCTGGCTTGACAAGATCCAGCGTGTGATGCGTTGGCTGACATATCTACTACTCATCAAAAACGCAAGCGATTGATTATCCGTGCGGAGGACGATTCGGGCGTCCCATAGGTACGTGCGAAACTTCTGTAGCGCCCAGACAATGCTCAGGAGCTCTTTCTCTGTGGTAAAATACGTTCGCTCCGCCCCGCGCAAAGTGCGGCTGGCAAATGTAATGGGACACAAGTTTCCCATTTGGTCTTGCTGTGCAAGTACCGCTCCGAGCGCAAACTGACTCGCGTCGGTGGACAGGTGGAAGTCCTTCGATGAATCCGGGAATTTGAGTACCACCTGTTCACAGAAAAGTTCTTTCGTCCTTTGAAACGCGGCTTGGCCCGCATCCGTCCATTTATAGCGTACGTTCTTCTTTAACAACGGAAGCAATGGCTCGATAACGTGAGCATGGAGCCTAGTGAATTTGCTATAAAAATTGATGAGGCCCAGAAAGCCCCTCAGCACCTTCTGATTCTTGGGCGCGGGAAAGTTCCTGATACAACTCAACTTCTCCGGTTGCTGTGTAATTCCCTTCGCCGAGATCACATGTCCCAAATATGTTATTTGTTTTGCCATGAATTGACATTTTGCCAAGTTTACGGTAAGGCCGTGTTCCCTCAATCGGCTGAACAGTGCTAATAGGTGCTTCACATGCTCCTGAAACGAGTTGGAAATGCACAGCAGGTCGTCAATGAAGTTGATTACGAATTCCTCCATTCCTTGGAGGACGATACGCAACGTCCTGACAAGGCTTGCGCTGCTGGTCTTCAGCCCGAATGAGCCACATGTTCATAGCACCTGCCTCGGTATAGAAAGGCGGTATACTTCCGCGAAGATGCCGTCAACGGGATCTGCCAAAAACTGTTAGTGAGATCGAGGCTGGACATGTACGCTACTCCTCGGAAGCACTGGAAGATGACTTCCACTCCTTCGGACATCTCATGGTCTGCCTTCAGTACTCGGTTCAAAGCGCGAGCATCAATGCAGAGGCGTAGACTCCCGTTCTTTTTCGTCACCGGCACAAGCGGATTGATGTACGGACTGTTCGATGGTCTAATGATGTCCGTGTCAAGCATGCGTTGGATTTCTTCGTTTGCCATTATCTGATGTTTCATTGGAATGGGATAGGATCTTCCTACGAACGGTTCCGATTCTTCGACCATCAGTTCGTGCTCGTAGCACGTTACTCGTCCTGGTGACTCACTCCATATTTCCGGATATCGCAGTATTGTTTCCTTGATCCGATCTCTCTGGTCGTCCGGCGCTTCTAGGTCCTTCTGCTTACCCGCCATTGCATCCTCGAGGTTTTGTGTCTCGACTGGGAGGTCCATTTGTCCTACCACAGCCGCCTCTGGTATATCCGTTGTTTCCTCGGTTCCCGCGAGCATGGGAACTGTTACGAATTTGTTGTTCTTTCGTAGGGAAATTGTTCTCTCTCCGAGGTCAATTTTTGCCTCCAGCTGGTTCAGCAGATCTATTCCAATTATGAGATCCTGCATCATCCCTGGTACCACGATCACTGTCGTGCTCAGGGTCATCTCATTTATTTCCACCTTGGCATACACTTGTTTTTGCAGGCGCTTAGATTTGGCTCTGGTCACCCCTACCACGAAACTTCACACTAGCGGAAGTGCGGGGCACCGTCTAAAATGCTCGAGGTTCCTCTCATAGCATCCTTCGGATATGGCTGTTATCATGCTCCCGGTGTCGATCAGTGTCGCCATTGCTATCCCCTCTATTTTTACTCTGACCTCCGGGGTTCTATTGATCGACGGAGTGCATATTCTTTCTTCGTCGGACAATGACAACTCCTCCCGCATACCTGGTGTCGTTGTTTTTGGACGGGTCATTTCTTCTAGCGTTACCGTGGCGCTTTCCAATTCGCGTTCTGGATCGACCTGTTCGATCCTTTGTTCGTGCGGCGATACCGCGCATCCTTTTGCTTGTGGAGCTCGTTTCGTGCCCGCTGTTGCACGCGACTCCTTGACTTCATTTCGTTTCTCCGTTTCCTTTCCCGATTCTTTCGGTACTACTATTTCGTTTCTCTTCTTAATTTCGTCTCTGGCGTGCATATACGCCTCCCAGACTTTCTTGTCCGTTTTCCATTGCCCGTATTGCGTGTCCCGATTCGTAATCCTGTTCGTTGTATACCCCTTCACATTCCTTTTCCTAAAGGGGCCCCGGGCTTCCCGTGGGGTGCCGTTCCGCCCTCGCCTGGAGCTCCTCCTCACTCGTTTCCCGCCAACCCTGTCATGGCGGGGTCCTCTTCAATAGTTAGTTCAGCTAACCCCATTCTCGCGGTATTCTGCTGGGCGGTGTTAGGCGCCCTTCTGCCCGCTTGATTATCATCTCTGCTGCGATTCCATCGCGCAGCATCGTTTGTTCGCTTGTAATCGGTGGATTACTGGGCCGTTCACGGTTTGGTTCCGCGCCGCCTGGCCTTGGCGCATAGCTGGGCCTTTCACGAGCTTGTTTGACCAGTGGACCTCGGGGTCTCTCTTCATTTCCCCGGAACCTGCGATTGTTGGGTTTGGGGCGGTTTAAGGCGCCCCCATGATCCCATCGGTCGAGCATGTCCAGCAGCGTCTCTGCTGAATCGATGTTCTATGCGAGGATCGCGTCATGAATCGCGTAATTGAAATGCCTTGCTACGGCACTTAAGATTTCACGGTCGGACCTGCACGGGGTCAGATCGGCCGCGTCCGCGATAATTCGGGCTGCGTATTCAACCCGGGTCATCTGCGAGTTCTCGTTATAGTAGCCGAATTCTAAATCCCTCGCGACTCGTTGCTGTACCGACTCACTCCAGAATCGAGCTAAGAATTTTCGCGAAAATTCGTCCCACGTATCGGTTCTCGCGGCTACCAAATCCCACCATGCTTTGGCACGGCCCTTCAGTGCCTGGTCTACTATCATCTGAAAATCGGCGTCTCTAATTCTTGCCGTCGTAACGAATCGGTTAAGTTCGCGTAAGAACTTCGGCGGATGTTCTCTTGCTTTCCCTTCGAATGTCGGAAATCGCGGTTTGATCTTGTACGGACTCGCGGCGTTTTGCTGCGAGTCACCTTCCCCGGACGTAGCGGTATTGTATCAACGGGATCTGCCAAAAACTGTTAGTGAGATCGAGGCTGGACATGTACGCTACTCCTCGGAAGCACTGGAAGATGACTTCCACTCCTTCGGACATCTCATGGTCTGCCTTCAGTACTCGGTTCAAAGCGCGAGCATCAATGCAGAGGCGTAGACTCCCGTTCTTTTTCGTCACCGGCACAAGCGGATTGATGTACGGACTGTTCGATGGTCTAATGATGTCCGTGTCAAGCATGCGTTGGATTTCTTCGTTTGCCATTATCTGATGTTTCATTGGAATGGGATAGGATCTTCCTACGAACGGTTCCGATTCTTCGACCATCAGTTCGTGCTCGTAGCACGTTACTCGTCCTGGTGACTCACTCCATATTTCCGGATATCGCAGTATTGTTTCCTTGATCCGATCTCTCTGGTCGTCCGGCGCTTCTAGGTCCTTCTGCTTACCCGCCATTGCATCCTCGAGGTTTTGTGTCTCGACTGGGAGGTCCATTTGTCCTACCACAGCCGCCTCTGGTATATCCGTTGTTTCCTCGGTTCCCGCGAGCATGGGAACTGTTACGAATTTGTTGTTCTTTCGTAGGGAAATTGTTCTCTCTCCGAGGTCAATTTTTGCCTCCAGCTGGTTCAGCAGATCTATTCCAATTATGAGATCCTGCATCATCCCTGGTACCACGATCACTGTCGTGCTCAGGGTCATCTCATTTATTTCCACCTTGGCATACACTTGTTTTTGCAGGCGCTTAGATTTGGCTCTGGTCACCCCTACCACGAAACTTCACACTAGCGGAAGTGCGGGGCACCGTCTAAAATGCTCGAGGTTCCTCTCATAGCATCCTTCGGATATGGCTGTTATCATGCTCCCGGTGTCGATCAGTGTCGCCATTGCTATCCCCTCTATTTTTACTCTGACCTCCGGGGTTCTATTGATCGACGGAGTGCATATTCTTTCTTCGTCGGACAATGACAACTCATCCCGCATACCTGGTGTCGTTGTTTTTGGACGGGTCATTTCTTCTAGCGTTACCGTGGCGCTTTCCAATTCGCGTTCTGGATCGACCTGTTCGATCCTTTGTTCGTGCGGCG